GCTTCTCCCTCTCCCACTCCCCCTGCTTGTGTTCCTGCTCTCGCTATCTCTCTCTCTCTCTGTCAAATAAATAAATAAAATCTTTTTAAAAAGTTATAAAATATTTAAAGTTAGATATAATGTTTTCACACCATCATAATCCAAGAGTCTTAGAGTATTTGCATGGGCCCTTATCCCTATTAAATACTTGTAAAAGACCAAGTAGTTAACTGGCTATCAGAGATAGAGAACTACAAGAAAGCAACAGGTAATACAATGGAAAGGACCGAGATCTCTGTCTCAGGTTCCTTATCTGAAAAATAGGTATAATATCTAAACCACAGGCCTATAATATGAATTAACAAGATATAATACATAACATAGTGTAACATATTGTCTCAGCATATAGTTAGCGCACAAAGTTAGGTACATACTATGGGCTGGGTAATGAATTATTACTGTAGTATAAATAGGCTTTATTATTTTACTTCCTTAAAATAACACAAGAACATATACTACCACTGTACAAAGCTATTAATATTCGAATGCTTTTATCTACTTTGTTCATCACTATAAGAGTAATCTCAGGTAAAATTAAACTTGAGAAACTGAGGAAAAATTTTATGATTAAGTGCTTCCAAAGGTATTAAATATACTTTAAAAAAAGATTTATTTATTTATTTCAGTGAGAGACAGAGCGCATGCGCAGGGAGGAGGGCAGAGGGGAGGGAAAGAGAAACTCAAGCAGACTCTGTGCTGATGGCTGAGCCCCATGTAGGGCTCGATCTGAAGACCCTGAAATCAGGCCTGAACTGAAACTAAGATTCGGATGCTGAACCGACCGCACCACCCAGGCATCCCTTAAATATACTTTTAAAAAACCACTTAGTCCACACAAAAACTTGTACATGAAAGTGGCATTATTTATAATAGCCCAAAAAATGGGGCGCCTGGGTGGCTCAGTTGGTTCAGTGTCTGACTCTTGATTTTGGCTCAGGTCATGGTCTCTGGGTCGTGAGATAGAGCTCCCCATCAGGCTCCACGCTCAGCACAGAGTCTGCTTGAGATTCTCTCCCTCTGCCCCTCCCCGCTCCTGCTCGTTGGTCCTCTCTCTCAAATTAAAAAAAAAGAAAGAAAAAATACGTAATAGCCAAAAAGTGTAAACAACTGAAACAAATGTTCATCAACTGATGAAGGGAATAAATAAAATGTGGTATATCCATATAATGGAATATTATTCAGCAATAAAAGAGAATGAAGTACTAATTCATGTTACCATATGGATGAACCTTAAAAACATTAAGTGAGAGAAGCTGGTCACAAAGACCACATATTGTATGATTCCATTTATATGAAATGTCCAGAATAGGCAAATCCATAGAGACAGAGTGCAGACTGGTGGATGCCTAGGACTGCGGAGGTGGAAGAAGTAGAGAATCACTTAGTGGGTATGGAGTTCTCTTACGGGTTGACGAAATGTACTAAAATTGACTGTGGTAATGGTTGCACACTGATTTGAATATACTAAAAATCTTTCAACTGTGCACTTTAAATGCATGAATTGTCAGGTATGTGAATTATATCTTAATAAAGCTATTATTTAAAAAAATCTCTAAGCAAAAATTACAGTTTTATTATTTTTTCCCATTTTATTTTATTTTTTAATTTAAATTTAATTAATTAATATATAGTGTATTATTAGTTTCAGAGGTAGAGTTCAGTGTGATTCATCAGTCCTATATAATATCCAGGGCTCATTACATCACAACGTGCTCTCCTCAATGTCCTTCACCCCTTCCCTTCCAGCAACCCTCAGTTTGTTTCCTATTTAAGAGTCTCTTATGGTTTGTCTCACTCTCTGATTTTGTCTTATTTTTCCCTCTCTTCCCCTATGATCTTCTGTTTTGTTTCTTAAATTCCACACATGAGTAAGTTCATATGATAATTGTCCTCTGATTATTTCACTTAGTATAATACCCTCTAGTTCCATCCATGTCATTGCAAATGGCAAGATTTCATTTTTTGATGGCTGAGTAGTAGTCCATCTTTACCCATTCATCTTCTTTATCCATTCATCTGTCAATGGATATCTGGGCTCTTTCCATAGTTTGGCTATTGTGGACATTGCTGCTAAAAACACTGGGGTTCAGGTGCCCCTTTGGATCACTACTTTTGTATCTTTGGGGTAGATACCTAGTAGTGCAATTGCTGGGTCAAAAAATTACAGTTTTAAAGCAAGCCAAAATAAAAACATGTTTAAAGAAAGAGTTTTTTTTTTTTAAAGATTTTATTTATTTATTTGAGAGAGAGAGAATGAGAGACAGAGAGCACGAGAGGGAAGAGGGCAGAGGGGGAAGCAGACCCCCTGCTGAGCAGGGAGCCCGATGTGGGACTCCATCCCGGGACTCCAGGATCATGACCTGAGCCGAAGGCAGTCGCTTAACCAACTGAGCCACCCAGGCGCCCTAAAGAAAGAGTTTTGTGTGTGTTTTTTAAATAGGCTCCACGCCTAGCATGGAACCCAACATGGGCTTGAACTCATGACCCTGAGATTGAGACCTGAGCTGAAATCAAAAGTCAGACACAACACACTGAGCCACCCAGGCACCTCTAACGAAAGTTTTAAAATAAACATTACATTAAAAAAATTGAAACAAACAAAATATAAACATGACATTACCATCTAGATATCTTGTTCCATAAGCACATTCCGGAAATATTCCTCTCAAATATGTGATGCAGGATACTGAAACTGCTAGGAGCCTCTTCACTAACACTAGAGACTGTTGCTCTGTTGATATCTTATTGGGAAACACCAATGCACTCTAAATTCAAGGAAAATTAAATTTATTTAATAATAAATTTAGATTAAAAATAACATCTTCCTGAACTTTGAGTAGATCTAATTTTGCATAAGCATGATACTTTCCCAAAGAAGCCTAACCATAAAATAAAATAAAATAAAATAAAAATTCCTAACCACAGTGGTTAGTAATCCCCAGAAAGTCAGGATGGCTTCTAAGATGTGAGGGTAATTCCAGGGTTGCAGCCTAAAGGTAAAATGCAAAAAGTGGTTAAGAATCATGTTAAAAATCCTCCTGCAGGTTGACTGTCTGTAAGGGCATAATACATGATAGATAACACTTCTTTTCTCTTTAGTTTCTGACTAGGTTTGACACAGGTAACTATAACACAAGAACTGTGCAAAGATGAGAATTTTATCTTTGTGAGGCATGGACCTTCATTTCCTAGGAATGGACTGCTAAGAATGATAATTTCATCAAAGCAACAGAATGGCATTTATTACACCTAATGTAAATTGAATATGAACCAGTTATTTAATGCAATGCATCAAATATCTAATACAATTCTACAATTCTCCACTGATAAAGAGTTTAGTAAATATCTTCAGTTCTTAAAATATGGAATTTCCTGATCTCATTAAACCCTCAAACAGCTGACTCTAACTTTAGAATATAAAAAGAGTTGAGACTTCAAGAAACAATAAAATTAGCTAAATTAAAATACAGTAAAATACACGAACTCATACCATGGAAGTTCTTTGCAATTGTGCAGTGGCCATCTTCCGATAAAGTCTTTTCTTTAATTCCACCTTGTGACACAAATACAAGCTTTAACTTCAGATCTTCTTTATTCCTAATATTCTAGTTTATTACATGTAAAGTCAGAAAGAACTTTATGTAAATAAATGAAAATAAATTCTACGTGAATTTCATGTAAATAAATTTTACACAAATAAGTAAATCACAGTATTCAAGCATTGAGTACACTGCTACACTTAGGTAGGTATCAGGTAATGAAAACTGCCCCTGCCAAACTCTTTAAAATAATCTAAAATTTTTGTTCTGGATGTGTCTGTGAGGGTGCTGTGGATGAGATGAACATTTGAGTTGCTGGACTGAGCAAAGCAGATCACCCTCCCTAAATCTGAAACTTCAGCTCCTTCTTGAGTCTCCAGCTTGCTGACTGCAGATCTTGGGACTTCTAATTGTGTTACTAATTCCTTATAATAAAGATCTTTTATGTATGTATACCTAAAAAAAAAAACCCAACAACTGTGGGGGTGCCTGGGTGGCTCACTCCGTTAAGCGTCTGCCTTCAACTCAGGCTCAGGTCATGATCCTGGGAAGCCCCTCCCTCCTCTGGCTCCCTGCTCAGCGCGGAATCTGCTTCTCCTTCCCCCTCTGCCCCTCCCCCTGCTCCTGCTCTCATGTGCGAGCTCTCTCGCTCGCCCTCTCTCACAAATGAATTAAAAAAAATAATAATAAAATAAATAATCTTAAAATTTTTGTTTTAAATTTGTAGTTTCAAAATGACCGAATCAGGTAATGGTCCTTCACTGAACTTCAGCATGGCTCTCGATATAATGACATATTGTCCTACTCTGTGGAACAACCACAAAAGAGGAACAGAAAATATTCCAGATTTTGGCTGATTCCGATTTCTCGATTATAACTGTTATTTTCATGTAAGTTTCAATTTTTTTGGTCCCCAGTTTCACTTTTCTTAATCAGACAATTCAACTGGAAGAAGTCCCAGAAGAGACGATTTACTGTACGTGTTTTAACTGATCTTGACAAAGCCTGGACCAGATGCCAGAGTTAACCTCGCCTCAAGATACTCCTGTGAAAAATAAGTAGGTCTACGTTTTCCCCCCGTGTGTTTCACCATTAAGACTTTAAGAAACTTAAAAGGAGTTGGGAGGTGTTAGAAAATGAGATTAAAAAGCAAAAAACAAAAACACGAAAGAAAACAAACAAACAAATAAACACATATACATTACGGAACGTCTGAGGGCCGGGCGCCAGCGACCACCAAACCTGCACCACGCGGCACGCGCTTTGCCTGATGCGCAGGCGTTTTCCTTCAACCGTCGCCGTTGAAGGCGCGGCAGCAGCCTTGCGACTTCCAGTTGCTTTCCCGCCAAGAGCCGCGCAAGGAGCTCTGGGAATCCCGAGAAGCTGAAGAGCCAGTCTCAGCCAGAGAAATGCCAGACTGCTAGCAGGCTAAGGTTAGGTAATTGGATGTACCAAGCCTTCCCGAAATACTTAGCTTTCCTACAGTGACTAAAGTGTTCTTAACCGCCGTTTAATTAATCCTGTTAATTTCTGATTGTTTTCTAACTTTCGATTTTGTTGTTGGATCTGCCACAAATGCATTGCATTCCCGCCTTAGTCTCCCGTGTCTTCAGGAAACCAGGTGATTCGGCAGTCTCCTACTTAGATATTTCTACTGTGCTGTCTGTGGGGACAGTGGATAGCTTCAAGTGTAGTTATTGTCTCATTTAGAAGCAATAATAGAATCAGAGCTGGTCGGTAGTTGGAGATTGCTGAAGAGTACAAGCTGTTTACAAATTGTTATACATCTGAATAAATTGTGTTAGCAGTGTAAACATATCATAATTATTCATTAACTTTGATATGTCTGCATTACCAGTTAGAAAACAGCCACCCCAGTATGAAAAGATTTGCCCAGAGTCAATCAGGAGAGGAATGAAGTCTAGAACCTTGTTTTCAGTCAAAAATTGTGAAATCCCCTGGTCTAGTGATTATTTTGCTTTATAGTTCTCTCACATTTGAAGTTTACAAGGGGCTTTCAAAATTCACTATCTTATTCTTCTAGCTTACTCCTACTTTGCTTCTTCTAAGACCTTTGTCTTAGGAGGAAAACACAAGTATTTCTCCTATTTTAGAGGTGAGAAAACGGATTCAGGTAAACTTGGTTTCCTGAGACCACAACCAATTTCAGCCTTGCCAGAGGGGGAGCCAGGACACCATAATAATGACACGTTAGGTTTATGATTCAGTACTTCTTATTACATTTACTTTTGAGTTATTAACAACAATCAAAAAACAAAAAAATTAATGAAAAAGTAAATAGCTCATCTTGAATCACAGAATCAGAATAATGCTGTAGGGGATGAATAATTTCTCCTCTAGTTTCTTAGGGTCTCTGGTTGGACCTAAGAATTTAACTAACAGAAAACAGATTAACAGGAAAAAACATACAAATTTTAACTATATCTTCTTTACATGCACTTGGGAGTCTTCACAAGAAAAGTTAAGACCCAATTGAGTTGAATGCTTTATATACTGAGTTGGACAAAGAATAGTAAATTGTGAAAATGTGACTAGGCAAAGGGGCTCGGGCTGGAGCAGTTATATGAGTGAGTGACTAGAAAGATAGGGGTTAGGTTAACAAAGTTTGTTTGTATAGATTTATCGTGGCCTCGACCTCATGCCCTTGGTGACATGAATTTCTCTTTCCTTCTGAAATAGGGAGGATATCTTTCACATGGGAATTTTATCTCCTGCTTTTAAGAAAAGGAAGGAGAATCAGAATGTCCTTCTTGCAGCTGCTGTTTTTCAAGTGCTTTTAACTCAAAATAGTATGCCGGAGCATCATGTTTTTGGGTGCTGTGTTCTGAACTCCTTCAATACAATCAGTAACTACTGATTTAACTAACTATATCACTGACTATATTTTGAGAATGAGAGTGGAGAAAAGGGTGGTGTTGATGCAAGACATCTAAAACATCGATTACCATAATAGTAAGTAGATACCATTAAAAAGGGCAATACAAATATATTAGAAACCTGAAGGTAAATACTAAAAGAAACAGCTAAAAGAATTATCATTGATTTAAAAGTATTACTGATTTTAAAAATAATTGGTTAAGGGACGCCTGGGTGGCTTAGTCAGTTAAGCAACTGCCTTCAGCTCAGGTCATGATCTCAGGGTCCTGGGACTGAGTCCCATATCAGGCTCCCTGCTCAGCTTCTCCCCCTGCCTGCCTTGCTCAGCTTTTCCTTCTGCCTGCCCCTCTTCCTGCTTGTGCTCGCGCTCTCTCTGACAAATAAAGTCTTAAAAAAAAAAAATTGGTTAAGAGAATGGGATGTTAGGCTTTTACAGATACTCACTGTAAAACAAACAGCCCTTCAGTTATGCATAGTGTTAATCACAGTACCATTTTGATTGTGTCTCTGAATTGTTTGATAACAGCTACTAGGTACTTACTGAGAGAATATAACATTTTTGCTGTCTAGAAATTGATAAATTCTTGGTTATATTACACAAGTGCTGCCCAAATACACGTATCTATGTACTATGGATCGATTTTTGTACAATTTATCATTTGCTCTTTGAAATTGTTGGGGAGGAACATCTTTTCCTGTATCCTTTTCAATTTTGTACTTGGGGGCCTGCATTTTAAATGCACAACAGACAGATTAGCAAGAGGGAAAAACAAATTTAAGTATGTATATATGCACAGGCATTCACAAAGAAACGTGACTCAAGGATGTGGTTAGATTTTGGAGTTTATAAGCCATCTTAATAGGGGAAGGGGAGGAGCAGAGGGGAACTTATGAGAGAACATATGACTTGTAGGAAAAATGAATGGGCCCTTAGGAGAATAGGTGGAATATATGAGAGTTTTATGACAATGTCTCTTTAGGTGATTTCTTATCCAGGGGCTGACTTGTGCTGACTTCTTGTCTTTGGTAACAGGAGTTAATCATCCCCTGTTGTGAAACTCCTTGGGAGGGGATTCAGGACAATTGAATTCTTTTTTTTTTTTAAGATTTTTTTCCTATTTATTTGACAGAGAGACACAGTGAGATAGGGAACACAAGCAGGGGGAGTGGGAGAGGGAGAAGCAGGCTTCCCGTGGAGCAGGGAGCGTGACGCGGGGCTCGATCCCAGGACCCTGTGATCATGACCTGAGCTGAAGGCAGACGCTTAATGACTGAGCCACCCAGGTGCCTCCAACTGAATTCTTTCGAGAAGCTTTGCTTTTAAGAAAATAAAAGGAATGGAGGAAAAGCCTCTTCCTACAGTCATTGATTTTCAAATTTCTTCAGTTCAAAATAATCCTTATGCCACTGGAGCATAGTCCGGACCCCTTCAAAATTAATGATAAAAAAGGGGCGCCTGGGTGGCTCAGTCGTTAACTGTCTGCCTTTGGCTCAAGTCATGATCCCGGGGTCCTGGCATCGAGCCCCGCGTCGAGCCCCGCATTGAGCCCCGCATCGAGCCTCTCATTGGGCTCCCTGCTCCGCGGGAAACCTGCTTCTCCCTCTCCCACTCCCCCTGCTGCTTGTGTTCCCTCTCTCTCTGTGTTTCTCTCTGTCAAATAAATAAATAAAAAATCTTTAAAAAAAATTATTAATCATAAAAAAGTAACATACATGCATGTTTAAGTTGCCATTATATGCATAATAAATTCTAGAAAGATATACAAGAAACTCATAATTGTGGTTACTTCTGAGGAGGAGGGATCTAAGCCTTTAGGGGAAAGGAGTAGAATAGAAATTTTTCACTGTTTTATATAGTCAATCTTCATTATTCATAGACTTCATAAAAGTGAATTTGCCCAGTTACTAAAATTAATTTGTAACTTCCAAATTAAACAGCAATTCAACCACAACAAAGTAAA